ATTTTGAACTTTTTGAACACGGAAACAACTATGCCTTGTAATAAGGCTTAAACATAATTTCGTGTCCTAAATTCTTTTATTTCGAATGATTTTGCGATAATGATTAATGCATGGTAGCGGCAACGGTTTCACTCTTGAGGTTTTTTTCGTGCAAACCAAACTAGTTCTGTACGGTGAAGTATTTGCGCGCAGCAAATTTTTTAGCACAAAAATGAGGGAGGCGTCAAATCAAGGTGACCTTAACAAGAAAAATGTTCCTATACGTGGTTTCTTAGTCCTACTGCTATCTGTCACGTCACGCTAAAGAGTTTGACAGCGTCACTTTTCCATATAAATACCGCCCTTTAGCTTGTCATCATCAGTTGAAGCATGAATAAGCTTATTTTTGTCGGTTCCATTGCCATATCGTCGCTCTTGATTTCGTCCATCGTAGCTGTAGTCGTTTTGCTAAGAGAACTTGCCAGCCTTGAAGTGCAGGTTCAAGCTGGTGTGGAAGAACTTGAGGTAATCTACAATCCTGTTCTTTTTTCTTCCTGTAATTTCTCAGTATTTAGGAGACGGATGATACTTGGAATCAAATCATGGAAGCTGCACCCGCACTTAATTCGCTGTTCAAACGTTCTCCCTCAAAATGTTCCGACTCGGATCAGTGTTGCTATGGAAAAGATCCTGCTGCTTGTCAGTTATTGCAAAGCGGTCCTGAAAAGCCACAGTTTGTCCAAGAGCTCAATTGGGGAAACCCTGGTTTCTAGGATGCTTGTTTTCCAATTTGATTAGGATGGTATGAAGATCCCTTAAATCATCCAAAAAAATGATAAGAACGAGGAAATGCCAGGGAAAACTAGGACAATCACGATGTTTGGACAGAAATGGTCTTATTGATGTACAGGCTTGCTGCTGGTAATTATACTGAGTGGAAAAATAAGACTTATTTCAAAGTTGCAATATCAAGCTGTACAATTGCATTGTAAATTCTACATTCTTATGCACTTTCAGTCGAGTTTTTGAAAATTAAATATCAGTAAAGAGTTGCAAATATTTTTCTCATTAAAATTGATTTGGTGTCTTGATTGTTGCATACCTAGTGAAAATTGAAAAAAAAAATACTTGTGACATGAACCACTACGGTTACAGCTGAGAATAATTAAAGACCGGTATCAGCTATAGATGCTTAAATTCATAACAAGCAACTCTAATCTAATAATCTTTTGGACCGGACTTCATGTAATTCAGTATGATACAGATCCAGCGAATATTGACTTTCTGTGCGAGCTAGGTTTTTAAATGCCAACGGAAATTTGAAAAATTAGACCAGTCATTAGGTGCATACAAAGGCAGTCGTATTGATAGCATTTATGGTTTGCAAATAATGTGAAATTACTAATAATGGTACCGACTCATTTATCCAACACCCCCGTCTGGTAGATAAGAAACATAAGGTGCCGAACAATGTAATTGATTCATATGATGCGATTTTCTCTATATTACATAACAACCTAATTGAATGTATATGTCACTCAACAGTATATAATAAGCTTTACAATCGTTATCTGACGCGCTGAATACATACACAAGTACTTAACAATGACATTAATTAACGAATATCCGTATTGTAACATCTTCAAAGACCTAGGACTACTACTGAAAGTTACGCGTAAGGCCTTAACACGAGTTCTCGCTAATTTTCATCAGCAATTCGTGGAACCGATGTTATTTCGAATGTCGTTGATATACTGTCGATAAATCGACTTCTACTATCGCTTCCGCACAATTAAAATAGACGAGTACTTCGAAATTTTGAATTTAAAAAAACATCAAGCTCTAATAACACTCTCTTATCTAGGCGCAAATTGAGTTATTT